CGCATGGCCTCTGTCGAATTCTCTCCTTTTTCGACCAGGGGACGAGGTATTCGATGGTCTGGAAATGCACGCAGCGTGCCTTTGCTAGTCGAACAGAGGAGCAAATTTCCCGGTTTGTTGTATTGTTGGTTGTGCGTGTCAGAGTGGGTTGTCGTACCGCACAAGAAGCTTTCATTAGAGATCCAAGTGCCTGTAGTGACATCTCCAGCGCAGTTCGTAAACTCAGCTACCACCTCCAGATCATCTTCACGCAGCGTCTTGAATTCTTGTTGAAAGTTCAGGTATTGGCGGGTCCGCTGGAATCCCTGATTTCCTGACATCTCTCGAGCCATAAGCAAGGACGAGAACCTGCTCGCCCTTCTTAACTGCCCCTGGCGTTTCTCAATCTGTTGGTTCACAGGTTCACTAGTTAATGACAGAACTCGCGGAACTTCAACTACTCGTCCTTCCCATAGATCCGCCCCAAAAGCATTCATATCACGCTGAGACCGTCCGCTTGGTGCGGGTAGAGATTGGCCTTCTAGCCTGACCCATTGCATCAGGGTTTCGAGAGTGGGCTCCAAGCGCTCGTTCCTAGATCGCGAAAGCTTTTCTGTGATCTCGGCGATCTCTTGGGGTGTAAAGTCGACATGGTATACAATTGGTTGTGACGCTATACTGGCAATGCTAGCATCAACTGGAAATTTCGTACCCGCCTCGATGGCTTTGCGATGTTCCGCCGTGAGATAAGGCTTCTCGACAATTTGGTAGAACCGATTTTGGGGGTTTGGTTCTCGGCGTTCTCGAGACTTGCATGGCTGCCGGTTGATGTATTCAGGAATCTCTGGTTCCGGCACTTGCGGTGATTCGTGCGTGGTGAAAGTGCAAGAAGAATGCGGCTCCCCAAAAGTTCTTGGCTCTTTAATAAGCTCGGAGTACTCTCTTAGAGCTTCCACTTCTTCTAGCTCCGGCAAATCTTCCGAGTCTTCCGACAGTTCAATCACTTCCAGCTCCGGGGACTCTTCTGGCACGTTAACTGCTCGAAATTGTGGTAGCCCTTCTGACTCTTCAACCTCCTCTAGCTCTGGTAAGTCGTCCGACTCTTCTGAACCTTCTGAGTCTTCCGACCCGTCAGAGTCTTCTGACTCATCTGACTCATCTAACTCATCTGATTCTTCTGTCTCGCTGGATTCGTCTGATGCCTCAGAATCTTCAAGTTCTCGACGTTGTGAAACGATCGGCTGTATTGATCGCCGGGGCAGCTGAGGTGTCAAAAAGGGCGTAGGGGATACGCGGAACTCCTTGAATGGCGTGTTAAAAAAAAACGGCCTAGTCTTGGAATCGGACAACTCACCAAGCCCTCTACAAGCTCTGCAACGATACTGCGCGCCTGAGACCTGAGAATACCCAGGTCTGTCTCGCTCAGATAACCACAGGTTTCATCCCATCGTCTGCGGAAGAACTTGCTTATGCTGAGTACTGTAACTGCCTTAATTGCCTGCGATTAGCGTTGAAGCACGTTGCAGTGGGAAACTTCCCTTATTTACCTTGATCGTGAGCGCATGAAGATGGTAATCGTCGCGCTTGAGGCCCGAAATTGCATTCTGGACTAGAGGATACACCTGTTCACGGAGACATTCCTTTACGCTTCGTTTACGCGGTAAGGGCTGCTCAATGCGTTGGCGTTTTGATGGCGGTTCGTCGGTAGGCCTGAGGGTATCCAGCAAAGGAATGGGCGCTGTCGGCACCTGGCCATGGTTAAACAACGATCTGGAGACCGTTGTAGTCAGCCCAAAGCTCATGAGGAAATAAGCTCAAGATCATGCAGAGATAAAGTGCAAATCAAACAAGATAACCTTTGACGCGTAGTATACAAAGATGACGGGGATATATATCACTTACCCCATTGCCCCATTTAGCGTTGTTGCGGTGATAAGGTAATTAGGAGGCATAAGAAGGAGCTTAGTGGGCCTACGGGATGGAAAATAGATAATCCAGAGTGCTATATATCGCTAAGAGTAGAAAGATTAGTAATATTATAAATTTTAACTACTTTAAGCTCTTCATATATTTAAAATCCTTAGAATACCTTATAAGTTTTATTATTAAAAAAAAAAGTAATTAATAAACAGATATATATTATAAGTTTATATAATATTAAGTTGTAATAAGGATAGATCTCAGTTAGTATTTTAAAATCTATAGAATTAGAATTTAACCTTCAAATCAATTGCAATAATCAAGGAAATTAACATGTAATTGCTGAGGTTCATTTGCAAACATAAGTCTGGTATAGAGCGATAGCTTGACATACCTATAGAATGGAGTTATAACACATTAAGAAAGGTGTCGCTGTGCTAACAAGCCTAAATGTTAACCAATTAATAATTGAATTACCTTTCGCATTAATATAATAATATGGGCCTCTTTCTCCTATACCCTCACAGTAATCAAGTATAAAGAAACAATATATCTCTATAAACAGCACATTGCCTCATTAACCTTGTAAAAGATAAACTTAGTATCTCATTAGTATTTCTGGCATAGCAATAGCAAATAGTTGTCTACTTTGCATTATAGTTATACTATACTAATTATATACAAGTTCAAGCCGCTCAGTGACCCTTGAACACATACGTAAAACATTTAATGCAGCTGTAACGCCAAAAATCACATATTCGGGCTACGCTGAGATCTTTTATAGCTTGTTCTTTCCAATAGGCTCCTGGGCTGCAAGCTCCTCGTACATGCGGTCGATATGCTCTCGGTAGGCCTTGGCGGCCTGGGGACGCTTCAGCTTCAGTCTGGGAGAGTTGCCATGTTAGCTGATATGTTCTTATAGGGGAGTTGAAACGGGTTGGAAAACTTACGTAGGAGTAAATATGCCGTTGTCAATGGTGAAAGGATCAATATCAAGGTGGACATTGCGCACTTTCTCAAAGCTGTTAAATTTGTGCTTCTTGCCAATGTCGTCGAGGACCTTGAGGAACTTGGCCTTCACCTTGGGGTTATTGGCTGCAACACGCAGATCCGCGACCTGGTTGGGGGTGATGGTCTCCTGCAGGATCTTGCTAGCGAATGGGGCAAAGCTCTCCACATCAATGCCAAAAATCGCGACCAACGAGGACTGAGTGCCGTCACCGTGGACGAAAGCCGCGTTGACGAGGCTGGTGCTGCCCATGTAAACATTCTCGATACGCTCAGGGGAGATGTACTCGCCCTGGGCGAGCTTGAGGACGTTCTTCTTGCGGTCAATGATCTTGAAGCGACCCATCTTGTCCACCTCGCAGATGTCACCGCTATGGAACCAGCCGTCGGCATCCAGAGTCTTGCGGGTCTCCTCATCGTTCTTGTAGTACTCACGGAAAATAACAGGACCGCGGAGGAGAAGCTCGCCACGAGGGTTGGGCTTGTCATCCACAGTGTAATCGAACTCGGGAACGGACTCGAGGCAGAGTTCCACACAACACATGGGACCGCCGATGTTTCCAGTAGTGAAATCACCTCGGGCCTGGATGGAGCCGACAGCGTATGTCTCGGTCATGCCAAAACCTTGTGCAAAGTGGTTGGCAAAGGCGGCACGTAGGAACTGCTGAACATCAGGATCAAGTTGGGCGCTGCCACTGACCATGCTGTGAACCTTGTCCATGCCCACAGCGGCCTTAACCTTGGGAGTCCAGATTCGGTCGTACAAGAAGTGGGTGTTGGAAGCCTTTCCTGGCGGTAGTCGCATATTGGCTTTCTTGGTATCGATAACACGTCGGGAAAGAGCGCCACGGACTCCATCGGCTTCGATAGTAGCTGTGCGAATGGCTGAATTGAAACGGTTAAAGAGTCGAGGAACAGAGATGAAACCAGTGGGCTTGAGGATCTTCATATCGTCAACCAAGCCCAGGATGTCACCCCGGAAGAAACCAATCGCAGCACCCTCAGCGACAGCAATCTGATCAATGAGTCGGCCATAAATGTGGGCAAGAGGCAAATACGACATGTGAGTATCCTTGGGGCTCACGTTGCCGTTCGTTCGGCCACCTGCGATAGCAGAAACGGCGTTTCCGTGAGTGATCAAAACACCCTTGGGGTTACCAGTAGTACCAGAGGTGTAGTTGATGGTGCAGATATCCTCTCGGGTAGGGGGTTGAGGTGCACGTCCAGACTTGGCGCCAATCTCCTCAACCTGAGCCATGGAAAAGATCTGAATTCCATGATGAGAAGCAATCTCATTCAGGACAGAGGCTTTGGTGTGAGAAGCCAGTTCACCCTGCTCAAGGGGATCGAGAGACACGATGAGTTTCAGGCCTGGAAGTCGAGGCGACATCTTGAGAAGAACAGGGATATGGGGAAGAGAGCAGACAACACAGGCGACCTCGGCATGGTTGATGATGTATTCTGTTGTGTCGGGACCGAGAGTCTCGTAGAGTGAGACTGAATACAGGGATTGAGAAGCAGCGCCAAAATCTATATAAGAGCATATGTCAGCAATTGCAATCTCAAATCACATTTTTGTATGCAGGTTCAAGGCGTATGGTCCTAGATCCATGATGCGACGCCGTGACCACGAGGGGTAGGGGCAGCCTTACCAGCGATCTGCCACTCAGCTCTGTTCTGCGACCACAGACCGACGCCGTACTTCTCGGGCGCATAACCAATACCCTTGTGAATCTCAACAAGACCAGCGCCAAAGTTCTTCCTTCGGACGTCAAAATCGGCATAGGTGATCCAGTCGTACTTGTCCTCCCACTGCTGAGTCGCCTGGTTCCAATGACGGGTTCCGAGACATTTGGAATTAGGCCACTTGCGCGCACTCCTGTTTAAGATGTCGTGTGTCGAGTTGATATCAGGCTCGAGGGAAGTAACAAGCGGGCCATCGCCAACTGCCCAGTGCCGGTAGGCGGCGGTTCGGTTGGGCCTTTCGGTTCCAGCGACTGGCACGCCGTAGGGACGACCAGGAGGAGGAACTGTAGTGAGCTTCTTGTACTGAATGTCGTAGTCTTTTTGCGTTTGGAGCGCCATCGTGGATGATGTCGGTTTCTTTTGGTAAGTTGGAAAATTGTAATGGTTACAGTCTGGCGAAGCGAGGCAAGACAAGGTCAAGACAAAGAGACAAGAGGCACAAGAAAGATGCCGAGTCGCTTGGAGAGGCGGGGAAGATGGTTGAAGCTGTTGGCCAAGCGAGAGAGCAAAGAGGCGGAAAAGGGACGTGGAATGCAGGTATTCGGAGGAACACAAGCACAAAAGTAAGGATGAGCGAGTCCCTTGCAGACGGGTGGACGGATGGATATCACGAGGCGCAAAAGACGAAGGAGTAGGAAAAGTAAAAAAGAGAAAAGATAATGAGAAGTCAAAGAGGAACAGGTTTAGCTTTTGAGGGATTGGCAATGATTGAATTACTAGGTAGAGTACCTAGTAGAGAGTAGAGCTATAGCCCAGCCTGTCGACGCCATAGGCTTTGACGAAGGAGTCCCACTGGTTGAGGGAAGGGAAAGTGGATGATGGGGGACCGAGGCGCGCCGCGACGCAGAGTCACGTAAAGTGCTTGTGCCTCGGCAGCCCCAGATTTCGTGGAGTAGCACTGCAGAATAGGGAGTAGCGTCACCTGGGGGAATTTCTCGTATCCCTGATTCCCCGCGATAGTTGATGAGGGAGTAGTTGGTTGCGGGACATGGACTTTATTCAGTCAAGTGAGCCGAGGATGTTTGATATGGAGAAATGCAGTTGTCCATATGCAGTTCGTTGGATTAAATCCTTGTTAAAAGGCTACTCCGTACTACCTCTACTTTAATATGCGGGGAGGGAGAAATGTGAAATGTTTTCTCCTGTGACATTCAGAGTTGTCCTTTTTTCCAGTTCATCAACATTTTCTCCTCATGGGTCGGGACTCACATGCACAAAAGGTGATATATGCTCAATATTGTCAGCAGCCAAGAATAAAGGGTACAGCTGAGTGGTAATACCGTAGGGCACATGCAGTAATATACCCATACTTCTCATCATCCGCTGAACTCGTCAGCACCTTGTTAACCCCAATTCATTTCATGACTGGCCACAGGTCAAGACGCTAAGAAGGTCCTCCCGAAGGCCTGGAGATCTTTTCTTTCCCTTGGGTCCATCTGTCCAAACAAAACATGTCTTGCCCCCCCCCCCCCCCCCCCNCCCCTTCGAGAGCAAGTCCGGTATGCTCGGGTCGGTTTTTTCGGTTACATGTGAATTTGCATCAACCGATAACGATATAACAGTACAGAAAAGGTGGCTGAGAGGAAAGGGATAAAGGATAATTGATTTTTAAAAAATAGCCTACTGACACGTTATTGTGACCTCTTGTATATGACTGGTTTATATCGGTAGCTGACTATTTGGTAGTATGTTTTCTCTGTGTTTGTGTTTGATCGAGTCTCGTCTCTACACAGACAGCGCAATACATGCATGGCCCACACACTATTTCGTATCCGACCGAGTCATCTTCTACTTATTATACAAAGGTCCAGCTCTTGGATGCAATCAATATCAATTTGTCCAGATGGGGGGTTTTTTTTTCCCTCTCTTCAGTGACACGTGCATCTGTACAGTACAGTACAACGGTCCAGGTACTCAGACAGATGCATAGTACAGCGTTTATCGGCAGTCTGAGCCATGCCGATCACCATCACGTACCGTCGTCATCAGAAAGAGTCGTCGTGTCTCAGAACTGAACCGCCTATGCTGCACATCAAGAGCGTCGCAATCGACACTCGTTTCGGCAGATAGAATGGTTAATGACTGGCTTGCCTTGGTTGAGTCGCTTCTTTGATTCTGGTTCAAGCATTCATATATAAATTGTTAACAAACTATTAAACTTTGTAACGGTATTCATCTTAAGGTACCATCCATCATTTAGCCATTCAGGAATAACCTTTTTGTACTCTACGTAATGCATAAACGAAGATCTACCGAGATCTACATACGGTAAATCCGTGGTGTTGTTAAAATTGCGGATGTTTTAGCTACAGCACCCCTTTATAGATGTTCCCTCTATGCGGCACTTCTTCGCATAACTTGACTTGCTCTGAACATAGTCACCAAAATGTTACTATCGACTCTCCCAACGCATAATGAAAAAAAGAGGAGCCTGCCCCTGGTTTCTTAATTGGTTTTGGTTTGAGAAGCAACGACTGTTTCATATTTAAACGTGCCCGCCTTGTCTCAGGGCCCCCGTCGTCCAAACGTTACCTGATGCAACAGTGCAACAGAGTGTTTCCCTTGCCTATAGTTTAAAAAGAAGGTAAGAAATAAGGCTTTGCTTTGACCTACTATACAGTAATGTTTTGGACCATCTAAAAAAAGATTATCCTTCTGTTTCTGTTGATTTGCTGTTTCTCTTAGTGGCCCCTTCCCTGACCGGGTCCACGGTCTCTTTCTCGGGGGCATCTCCTCTGGATCGTCCACACCCCCCACAGGCCTCTTTTGATTTATATAGTCTATGGCCAGTTTCCCACGCCTTGCCCATCGGGCCTATTTCACACGAAGACCTCTTATTTCTCTCTCTTTTCATCTCTTTTCTGACCTGACTTATCCTTAGGGTACTTTTTTTCCTTCTTTCCGTTCTTTCGTAATTTCAACTTTTTGCATATTGATTATCTGCTACATGAGTATCTATTGCTAAAACTCTTATGCAACTCACATTCTCTTATTCTCCCTCTACTACAATATTATCATGATGGGTCGTGTCGCTTTTATATCTCTGCGAGTTCTGCAGCTAGCTCTATCTATTGCGAGCATCGGCTTGAGCTCATATGGTGCGTCCCCACAATCGACTTGGACTGGATGGGTGAATGGATGGGAAAGCTAACCATCTTCAAGTTGTCCACGATTACGACCGCAGAAGTCGAGGCTCAGCGCCTTCACCGTTTTCCTACCTCTTGACCTCGTCCATCGTTTCCATCGTCTCCATCGTCTACCTCGCGATCGCTCCTCTGTTTGTCCCGCGCCTCTATCATCAATACGCCGCCGTTGTCGTCGAAGCCGTCAATGCTGCTCTTTACTTCGCCGGTTTCATCGCCATTGCTGTCTTCATTGGGTCCCTCATTATGTGTGAGGGAACCGTCTGCTCGTGCGCACGCGCCGATGCCGTTGTTGCTGCTGGCCAGTTCACGGTGTGGATCACGACAACGGCCTTCACAGCCAAAGAGCTGTTCCAAAGGACTTTCCAGGAACCCAAAAAGGACATCGACAACCGAGAAATGGGACAGGCATAAATGAGCATGACATGCGCCTTAAGAAACGGCACAAATTATACATGTTCCAGTGATGAAATAAATCTCGAATACAGGAAAGGATAAGACTAGAGGAAGGCATTTTTACGACGGGCGTTTGGGCATCTGTTTTTCAGGAAAGGGATACTGGCAGTGCCTTTATCGATTGGACGGCCTGGTCATGCTGTCAAAGGAGTATATCGGCGTGGATACCCAACCCAACCTCCTGCCTGAGATGGGAACATATTATATTATACAGCGGGGGTAATTGGAAACTCTGGCATTTTCTGCTCTATCATTTAATCGTCAGTCATCTTGAATTTCGGCTAGATCGAATTACTTCAACTTAAACCAGAAGGAAAGTTGAGCCGGACTGGCTTCTGGTTCATTCAACATGTTTGTTACTTCTCTCAATTCCATTTACGTGAAGTATAACACGGGGCGTTAAACAACCGTAGAATCGACAATCGGCAAGACTCGAGAACCGGTAGCATATCAGAATCGAAAGAGGAAGTACTAATGTCGTACGAGAATATGTCAGGTGAGAATATGAACAAACAGCTGGGTCCTCGATCTAAGCTACTCGGGTTTATAGTCGGCGCCGGATGAACGGGCCGGCCGGCAGCTTTTAGGACGGGAGCTTTTTCTATTTCTCGGTATGGTTTCTCGTCTCTTTTCTTATGCTACTATGCAGGAATTGCATCATTAAACCTAGGCTTTAAGTCATGATGGATGGGCCCTCTCATTCATAGGAGGATCTATGTACTAATGTCCACAGGTCCATGCTTTTATAGACTAGTGAACTGCTTTACAAGTGACAAGTACTCAAGTTCAAATCATAGCAGTGCAAGATAGTTCTTACATCTATCTATCTAATACCTTTGTATGTAATAGGTAAACAGTAAGCGGCTATAAAGTCTCTGCCATTTTTGTCTTGTTCCTGATCAGCCCCGCAAATCAAAAGCTTCTCTCGAAACCTACAATTACTTAATGTCAACTCTAACAACGGCATTGCCTAATAAAAACATAAAGAATTCCGACCGAGATGAATATTAGACAAGGAATAAACGGTTATCGGCGGTTCTCGGATATAGTTCAATATCAAAGATCCAATGCCAATGCGGCCGTTTAAACAAAAGAGCGACAATCAAGCTTTGGACGCGGTAAGTAGAAATGGTCATGACAGCTCAACAGTGTGGGGGAGTGGAAATGGCGTGCTACGCGGGGTCTCTGGGCACTACGAGTCCATGCCTAAAAAGGCTTGGGATGTTTAGGGAGAGCTTGAAGAAGGGACCAAGAGGTGTTTGTTGAAGGTGGGCTAGGCCACTTAGATTACCTGTGGTATGGCAATGGTATGGTATCACATCACTGCGGTAGTAGCAGGCTGGGCTATGAGCTGAGAGAGGAGGAGAATTGGCAAAGAGGTATAAAGAGCAAGGCACAATCTACCACAAACTTACACTCCTTTCTTCCCTCTTCTTTCTTGACTCTATAGACCGGTCATCTTAAACTTCATTACCTTGGTACCTCAACTTTCATTGCCTCGTCTTCATCATGTCGGAGGAACTTAGCAAGAATTTTGAGACATTGCAGCTCCACGCGGGGTACGTTTGTCTCGGCTCCGATCACGGAGTATTGCTCAATATTGAAGCTATCTACACAACAATGCAGCTGCAATTGAGCAATACAATGTCGGATGCTACACTGTATAGATCACAATTGAACTAACTGAAGTCTCCTAGAGCCGAGATTGATCCCACTACTCGCTCTCGAGCTGTCCCAATCTACGCCACAACTGTATGTTTTGACAACACTAACATAAAGCTCGAATGCTAATAACGCTCGCAGAGCTATGCCTTCAAGGACTCTGCCCATGGCGCCAGACTCTTTGGTCTCAAGGAGTTCGGCAATATCTACAGCCGTATCATGAACGTCAGTCAACCCCCTCTGGACAGGCCAATACAAAAACATTACTCTGACACCTTTCCAGCCCACAGTTGACGTCTTCGAAAA